CAGATTTAGTTGGGGGTATGGGATGTTATAAACTCTCTGTTCCTCCAAAAGGTGACCTCTTTTTCATGATCCTCCCTTTAAACTCTCAATGGTAAAAGTTATCAAACTGGCTGAACCTGTATTGCCCCTGTGGGAACCAGAGTCTCAAGTCAAGAACTGGGCCTAATTTGAACTTAGTCTTGGAGAACTGAGTAACTATTCTCAACAGGACAATATCCCCACTGAAATCCTCTAAGGACTGTAGCCTCTGGTAACCTCTGAGGACAGGATATCAGTTATGCTCCATATTATCCTGTTGCACAATTCTTGTTACAAATTTAATTCATCAGTGTCTTTAAAAAAGAGACAAAAAGCCCTAAGTAACTAATAACTAAGTAGAGTTTATCTGAGTAAATACAAGCATGATTCAATATTATCAGATCTATCACTATAATCTTACCATATTAACAGATTAAGGAGAAAAACACTTGATCATCTCCAGATGAATAAAGAAGTATTTGATAAAACTGAACACTTATTCATATATTTTAAAAATTAAAAGACCTGTGAATAGAAGGAAAGTTTTATAGTGTAATAAAGGGCAACTACCTAAAACTTACAGCAAACATCAAACTTTAAAAGCATTTTTTATTGAAGTCCAGCATAAGACAAGGATGCCCACTATCATTGTTACTATTCCCTGAAGTAATAATTTTTATAATGATTTTAAGACAAGAAAATAAGGGAATTTCCTGGCGGTCCAGGGGTTAGGACTCCGTGCTTTCACTGCCCAGGGCCCAGGTTTGATCCCTGGTCGGGGAACTAAGATCTGCAAGCCACGCGGCCTGGCAAAACAAAAAACAACTGCATATATATATATATATATATATATATATATATATATATAATATACACACACACACATATATATACATAAGAAAGGAAGAGACAAATTGATGATTTTTACAGATGAGATTATTATTTACATAGAAAATTCAAAAGCATCTACTGAAAAGCTAGTTATATTTATAAAACAAAATGCAGCAGTGTTGCTGGCTCTAAGATCAAAATACAAAAATCAATAATTGTCCCATATGTCAAAAATAACCAACTAGAAATAAAACAGAAAAAAGATATAATTTATAATGGCAATAAAAATTATAAATTACCTCAGAAAAAATAGCCAAAGATACTAGAGACCTAGGGAGAAAATGATAAAACATTATTAAAGGATGTAAAATGGAGACCTGAAAAGAAAGGAACAATACGATATGTTCTCATTTGGGAAGAATCCAAACTGAAAAGATGTCAATTTAATCTATTAATCCAATGCAATTTGAATCAAAATCCCAGTAAGATTCTTTTTTATGAATTAGACAAACTGATTCTAAAAGTGACATTCAAGAAGAGCCAAAACAATAGTGAAAAAGATAAGGACAGCTTTCCCTGTTAGATATTGAAACTTACCATAAAGATTAATACCCTATGGGCCAGCAATTCCTTTTATATGTATGTATATATGGTCTATTGTGCTTACTGTTTATAGAGTCAATGTATAAAAACGTGGACTCAGTAGATAAACATCAAGTTGATAATTATGATTGTCTCAAGAGAGGGAGGGGAATGGGATTAGGAATGAGAATGGGGGAATTTCAACTTTTTTTATGTTCCCTTTTTTAAATCTATCCAAAGCAGAAATGACAAATGTGTATTATAGGCAGTGGTTACATTGGATATTAATTGTTTTGTGAATATTTCTGCATCCTTGAATCTTGCCAAAATAAACAAAAAGTTAGTTGATTAATTCTCCAAATAGAAATAAAAACCCTGTATTTATAGCCACATTTGCTAGGTTTTTGCTTTTTTTTGTTTTTTTTTTACTTTACATCTTTATTGGAGTATAATTGCTTTACAATGGTGTGTTAGTTTCTGCTTTATAACAAAGTGAATCAGTTATACATATACATATGTTCCCATCTCTTCCCTCTTGCGTCTCCCTCCCTCCGAGCCTCCCTATCCCACCCTTCTAGGTGGTCACAAAGCACAGAGCTGATCTCCCTGTGCTATGCGGCTGCTTCCCACTAGCTATTTATTTTTCGTTGGGTAGTGTATATATGTCCATGCCACTCTCTCGCTTTGTCACAGCTTACCCTTCCCCCTCCCCATATCCTCAAGTCCATTCTCTAGTAGGTCTGTGTCTTTTGGGTTTTTGCTTTTTAAATGACACTATCTCCAGATGTCTGCAAATACATGAGGAATTTGAACTAATTCTGTAATTTTAGATGGTCTCATAAATATTGCAAAACTTTTAGCATTCTAAACATTGTTTCTGAGATAAATCTTGTTTATTTTCTACCATTCTTTAAAGATTAGTCAGTTGTCATTAATAAATGCAAGTATGAAATGGCTCTTGGACCAGCATAAAAGTCTACTGTGCAGAGTTTAAGTGCCAAGAACATAAAGATGCTCAAGGTATCTCCATCTCTTAGAACAAAGGAGGGTGTCAAGAACAATGCTACGAAATATTAAGCAGAAGATGCCCCCAGAGAAGCCTCCAGGAAGCACAGCAAGGGCAGAGTGACATAGGACAGCAGTGGAATGCAGGGCAACAGCAGCAGCTGGTCTGCATCTTTTCATAACGGTAAAGTCACAAACAACAGGAACTGTTTTTAGAGTGACCAGATCCAGTGTGTTTTCTCATACTTCGTTTTCTTTGACTTCTGCAGTATTCAGTATCATTACTTGGCTCCTGTGGTTTTGAGACACCACCATATGGTCCTGTGTTGGTTGGCCTTCTGGTCATTCCTCTCATTCTCTGCTGTTTGTTCTCCTGCTGCCTTATCCCAGTCTAGTCTCTTCTCTCCTTTGGGGAACTCATCAGGTCTTAAGTGTGGAGCCAACCATCACCTTGATAGCTCTGTCTCCAGCCTGAGCTTCTGAACTCTTCATTCTGTGGTACATCATCTAAAACTCGAACAACTCCTCAACTGCATTTCCTCTAGACTTTCGGTCAGCAATATCATTATTCTCTTTGGGTGGAAATTCAGAGTCATCCTGCTAGGTTCTATGATGGCAGGTAATATGACCATCTTGTTCACCAACAGGGGCCTTGGGGAGTGCTTGGTACACTCAGTAAATTTTCAGTATCAATTCCTTGAAAGATAGAATCCTTGCCTCATTCATCTCTTCCCCCAACACTCCAAATCCTATCACTTAATTTCTGCCCTTCTTTTTTGGTTCCATTAGAAGAAAAAGACTAATCCTATCAGTTCTGCCCTTTTGTTTCTGCTCTACTAATTCTGCCAGGAGGATTTTTTCAGAACACAGGGCCAAAGAGAAAGGGGAAAAAGTTGGTCCAGAGGAGGCTGGCCAGCCTATTCATGAATTTGGTCATGGTGGTGCTGTTAAAAAGTTAAAAACAGTTTGAAGCAACTCACTTATTTACATTCTTCCCCTCTGTCCACTGCCTACCCTGTCCAAAGCCCAAATTCCTTTGCTTGACATTTAAGGAACCTCCAAATTCTGAAAATTTTTTCTTTTTCTTGGTTTTTCTTTTCCTTGGTTGTAGGTCAAACTTATTGTTTCTCAAATGGTCCTTTATATTTTCACTTCTGAGGACTTCCCTGACAGTCCAGTGGTTAAGACTCCATGCTTCCACTGCAGGGGGCGCAGGTTCGATCCAAGGTCGGGGAACTGAGATCCCACGTGCTGCGAGGCATGGCAAAAAAAAAAAAAAACAGAAACAAAACAACATTTTCACTTCTGGACTTTCTGGAGAATATTTTTCTTGTGCCTGGAATATTCTCTGTCTTAAGTCTTACCATCCTTCAAGGCACAAGATATATCTAAACGTCTCTGAGGTCTTTGTGAACCGCCTGGGTATTCACTGAGCAATCCTGTCTTTGAACTCTTGTAGGACATAGCTGTTCCTTCACTTGGCATTAACAAATGCCAACTTGTTTAATTTACCTTTTTATGCTATTTTCTCCATCTCTTGAGATTTTCTTTTATCCTGTGTCAAGCACACGCTTTTACAACCAGAAACCTCACTATATTTGATTTGACAAAGAGGAGATTTTTTTAAAAAGCCGAATCAAATCCCTGAAGATAATGTTAGTAATTAAATTAATTGAGCGACCACTATGTTTAAGGAAGATTGCTTTCTAGTAGACTAGGGTGTGAGAGAAAGGAAAGATATAACTTTATCAAAAAGTTCTCCGTTCACAAGGAACTAGTCACTTCCTTGCCAAAGAAGAAGCTGTTTTTGCGATGACTGTGCTTTTTGGGGTGAGCCAACTCAATTCTCATGTCCTGGCTCATTTTTGAGACTGCCATGCCTATGTGCCAAAAGGGGCAAGTAGGTGAGTCTTTCAGTACTGAATGCCTAATATAGAAACAGATATTTTTAACGGTAATGAATACATTCATCATATAAACAAAAGAAACCCAAACACTCTAAAAGCATAAAGTTAAGAGTAACCGTTCTTTACCTCACCCATCTCTAACGGTAACCACCGGCCTTTTATTCCTCCAACTAGAATACTCTATGCATCCCTGAACAAGCCCATACTGTGCTATTTTTAATCATACTTAAAAAAAAACAACTCCAGCTGTTGGCGGTGCGGGCTTAATATATCGCACAGCTGTTAATTGTGGTTTCTTTTTTGGTAGCGGCACTTAGATGCGTATTTGCCTGAGTTTCCATTGCGGTAGGGAGGTGCAAACACAGAAATACAAAAATAGCGCCAAGGTTCAAAGAAGTCCCAAGCTTGGCGCCCCAAACCAGGCGGCGGCGGGAAGAACCAGGGATCAACTCCAACCGTGAAAAAGCGATACCGACTCCGGCGGGTCGTGCGCGCCCGGCGGCCCCTCCCCACCGGCCGAGGACGCTTGCCCAGTTCCTGGACCTCCCCCTTCACCGAGGCTGTTGGGCCCAGCCCCGCCCCCAATGGGCGGGGGCGGCGGGGCTTGCGCGCCCAAAAGCCCGGATGGGCCGCGGCTTCCGGCGCGCTGCGCTCGGACGGCAGGGGGCGTGCATCCGCCGTACCTCGGCCAGCTCGGCACCTTTGGGGGCCTGTGCGGCCCGGTGTGACTGGAAGGAAAATGGAGCAAGAAGCCTAGCCTGAGGGGTAGCTCTTACGCCTCCGACCGAGGTCCTGCCGCTTTTGCCGCTAGGAGCCTCCTTCTCCTTCGGACCTAGTGAGTTCGAGCGCCCCGGCGGCCTGGGCCCGGCGAGTGGAATGGTCGCCGAGGCCCAAGGCGTCGGGCTTCCGCGCGCCCCGTGACGGGAACTAGGAAGCCTCGAGGTACGGCTCCCTCACCCACCCCGCCGACTCCAGGCGCGGCAAACCCCAATTAGTGAGCAGCAGGTATCGGCCTGGAAGCGCGTGGGCAGTTCTGGGTTCGCTTTGTGACTTGGGTCTCCCCGGTCGCTCTCACCCCCCGCCTGTGCCCCGCGCGCAGCCTTTGTGCATTTCGTGGTGGGGGGCGCCGGGCATGTGGGTCTGTGGAGGTTTTGTTGGAAGGAGGTGAGGTTGTCGCCACTCGGGAGGAGGGCGGGTTTTCGGGGCCGCGCTCCCAGCGGGTGGGGGTTTGGGAGGGGGTTCCGCGGGCACGGGGGTAAAGGTCAAGTGCGCGGGGGGCGCTGCCGGGGGCGGGGGTGGATGTCAGAATAATGACAGGTGCCTGTTCGGTAGCTTGTATCTGCCGGGCGCTACGTCTGGGCGAGATTGGGCTGGTTCTGGGGGCAGGTTGACTCAGCTTTTCCTGTGGGGCTGGTCAAGTTCGGACACGTTCCGCGTCGGTAGTAGAAGGAGCTAAGCCCTGACTTGTCTCCAGCTGGGGCTATTTAAACCATGCTTTTTCCCAGCTGTATTCACTGGCTGTTTGAGAGAGAGAACCTGTGGTCACCGACCTGTAGCATTTTCTGCTGATGTAGGTAAGGACCCACTTGCTAATAAAAGCATTATTTATCTTATTTCTATATGATTTGTCTTTTTTTTTAACAGGTATTTCAGTATTTCAAGTTTTTATCGTGTGTTTTCTTTTCGTACTCGTAGGCAAATGTGCAATACCAACATGTCTGTGTCTACTGATGGTGCTGTAAGCACCTCACAGATTCCAGCTTCGGAACAAGAGACCCTGGTTGGTATTTTTGTCTCCAGTGTAACTTTAGCAAAAATTTATTTTATGAGGTGATCAACTAGATTTCACAGACCCCAGTTATAGCATGGCTCTTTAAGTGAAGTTGTAGTACATAGCTTAAATTCCTGCCACTCAGGCATGACTGTGGAGCAAAAGTTACCTGTAAGAATCAATATTTATTTTCTTAGCTTTTTACCACACTGAATTAAAAGTCAGTTTCATTATCTTCTTAAGTATGGATGCTGAAGTTATGTTTATTATGTGACTGTTTTGTTTTTTTTCTGTTTTGACCTGTCAGTATTTAACTTTTGTAGAAGTCAGAAATAATTCATGCTTGTTGTAAAGATGTTAGGCATTACAGAAAAGTATAAAGTAAAAGCTGAAAATTCCAGTCTTCTGTTTTGACCATATCTGTCATATCTCCTTTTTAGATCTTTATCTATGTGCATACCCACATATATATATGCACATGTGAGTTTTAATCTGTCGCGGTTCAGTTTGTTTTACTAAAATAGGATTATACTAGAGATGTTAAGCAAATAGCATTTATGTCAATCAATAAAACCTACAGAATTCTTTTTTAACAGCTGCATGGTAATCCACAGCATTAGTGTACCATTTAAGAAATTTATGCCTTTACTGATAGGTTTTCTAAAATTGCCTTTAGTTTTTGAGTATTACAGATGGTGCTGCTTTGCATATGTATCCTAACACAAGTGTTATGTGTAATAGTTTTCCTCTCTGTCAAAACTGAATGTTATCACTGTTATTTTGCCCTTTTTTGGCAAAAGGTATTATATTATTGTGTAAGTGTGTATTTCCCTAATCTTTGGTGAGGTTGGGCATCACATCATTGGTTAAATCATTTGTTTCTTTTGGGGTTTGCTTGGTCTTATCTATACACTTTTAGGCTTATTGTATTTTTCTTAATAATTTGTAATAGTTCTCTGTGTTTCAAGTGTATTTAATTTTTATCATTTACAAATGTTAAAAATTAACTTTGCTTATTTGTTCTTTTTCTCATTGAGAACATTTTTATAAAGTAAAATTTGACTTTTGCTGGCTTTTGAATTTCATATGATGTTTTGGAAGAACTCTCCCATCCCAAGATTATACAGATAAACTGCTGTATTTTCCTCTAGCATTTTTTATTTTTACATCTAGAATTTATCTTTCTGTTCTTAAATGTAAGATTAATGATGATATTGTCTTTTATAGTAGTTTTCTTATTAATGCATGTCTTTTAAGTCTTAATAAAAAGCTGATGGCTTTCCATTGGAGACTTTGACTTTGGGTTGTTTTATGTAGTTTGAAGTTAATATAGTATATATAAAATTTTAGAAGGAAAAAAAGTAACTTTTTATGTTTTCTGGGATAATTCATTCTTTAAATAGGCTGAAAGTAAAGCGTATATGTAAGCACATAGGAAAAAACATATGATCAGAACAATTAATGATTCAATAGTACATTTATTGTGTATTTTAAAACTTTCAGTTATTAAATAATATTATGTTGATTAGCTGGAAATAGGCAGTTTTCTTAAATCTTGTTCTGAGGGTTAGATCCCGAACTGGGTTGCTGTCAGATTTCAAAGTTAGACAGGATGGGAGTATATTGAAGGGAGTGCAGAGGCACCAGTCTGTATAGGGGTGGCTGTGTAGCTGTAAAGATACTTGAGTTTTGAAGATTTTGATACGGCAACAGATAGGGAGAAAGAGCATAAACACATTACATCCCTGCCCCCTTGCCAGATATTTTCTCAGTACAACTTGGAAAGCCTCTAGGTCAGAGGCAGGCAAACTACAGCCTATGGGCCAAATTTGGCCTGCTGCCTACTTTTGTGAATAAAGTTTTACCGAAATGGAGCCACATCCATTGGTTTACATATAATTTATGCTTCTGAGTCATACTATCTGGTGAGAAAAGCTATAAACTGTTTACTGTCTGGCTCTTTAAAGAAAAACATTAAACCCTGATCTAGTTGGCTGGCTCCTTCAATACAGGTCATATGTCTTATTTGTCATTTGTGTGTGTGTGCAATATCCAGTGCTGTCTGGTGCATGGCAGAAGCTCAATAAATGTTTGTCAAGTAGATATTTGGAATGTAGACCAACTAAAAGGCAGCATGATATTATAGTAGGAAGAAAATGCTGGCTTGCAGTTGAGGGATGTGAGTCTCAGTCTCCAGATCTGTTCTTAATTATCCTTGTCAGCTTGGGTTAAAGTTCGCCAGCGTTCAGGAACCTAATCTGTAGAAAGAAAAGATTGGTAAAAGGACCCACCATAAAGATTTACTCTTTTCTCTCGTATTTTGTAATTTAGTTTATAGTAAGCTCATTGGGGTATTCCATTTACCGTTGAGTTTGTAAGGTAATAAGCAGATGATAGAGATAGCTGGAGGAAAAAGAATAATTTTCACTGCCCTGGCATGGGTACTGTTTTTGATGGCAACTGATGATACTTGAGGGTTCTGTGATTATTTGCATAATAATTATATCCCAGCATTTTCTTCGCAAACACACTCTGTGGTATTCAGTTTACATAGTTTATTACATTTAGTGAAAACATTATGACTTAGTTTTTGAGGTCTGTAATGTTGTGAGATAACATTGTGTTTGCTACCTTTATTGAAATTCTTTATGGATGAGTTTTCTGCAGGCTTATAGTTCCGGAATAATTTGGAAGTATAATAGCAACTCTGTGTTCTTTATAGGTTAGACCAAAGCCATTGCTTTTGAAGTTGTTGAAGTCTGTTGGTGCACAGAAGGACACCTATACTATGAAAGAGGTAAGCTGAACTAAGTTAAAAAGATAACTTAATGTCTTACTAGTTACGTATAGCCGTGGGGAGAAATTGGTCATATGGAGGGATTTTCAGTAAGCAGGAATGTTAAGTATTGTGGTCATTTGGACTATAATTTGAAGCTGAAAATTCAGTTTATACTCGAATTTCATTTGTCAGCCTGGAACTCAGACAAAGGGAAGCTCTTTAGGGGTTCTTAGCCATTTTGTGCTGTGAACCTACTTGACGCACTGGTAAAGTCTTAAGATTTAGCAGCAGATCTAATAAATGTAATTTGGAAGTAGTGAGGAGCATAACTGATATTTTGAGATGTTTACATCAAGCATAGTATGTATGATATGAAAAATGCTTGTGATTTTATTGGTGACAAAATCACAGTTATTGTTAATACTTTGTGATTTGTTGCCTATGTTCATAATTGAAGGGCAAGCTAAATTTCAGTTAAAAATTAGTGAAAATACAGACAAACATTTTTTTCCCATCCAAATTAATGGACCCCCTGAATTCTATCCAAGGACTTATTGGGCATTCATGGATCCCAGGTTAAGAACTTCTGCACTAGAGATACATGAGTACAGTATACTGATCTTTCTGGGATAGAGGTGAGCTGATTTGTGAACATATGTTCTATTTAATGGATACATTTCAATGTATTGTTCTCTAGCTTTAAATTTGTGCACAGAAGCATGTTCTTCATTGAGAGATGGGCCATCTTAGGGAAAATTTCGATGTGAATGAAATGTGCCTCTTCCCCATCTCTCACACTTAGTTTATGGGGCTCAGATTACTTAAAACACTGAAGGACCTTACTTACATCAGCATAGTGGGCAAGAAAAGATTCCAGACCCTTTTCCTTTTTAGCCACATTCAGAAGTTTCCTTATGGGACGTTTGGTAGAAAGAGTCTAGGTTCTTCTCCTTCTTCCTTTCCACTGTCTACCATCTCTTCCATCCATGGTCACATAGGAATATTCCTTTAAGTCTGAAGCCTGCTTAGCCATTTAAGTCTATAGACGGAGCTTGCAGGGAAGTGTCAAGGTAAATGATGTTTTTGGGATGTTAACTTAGGTTTAACCTTATATTATCATTATATAACCAGTTAAGGAAACAAAAACGTATGACTAGTAGTAGGTAGAAATAAGGAGAAAATTGATCAAGGTCATCATAAAGACTTAGAATGCTAATATTAAACCGTGTAACAGTGATGTATATATTGTCTGACACAGTGTTCAGTTGTAAAATCTTTGTTCTGTGGTATGTGGGAGAGTAATGAAAGCTAGTATGGGGTAGTAGAAAGCACACTGGGCTAGAAGTCAGAAGATCGGGTCAGTTTCTTATTTCTCATATGCTGATAACAATTCTATGAAATATCAGAAGGAGACAGTACTTGTAAAAGTACATTGTAAACTGTAAAACACCATATGTGTTTAGGTGGTTGTTAATAGGTTTGTATGTGGATGTCTTAAAAATGTATTGCCTACTTTGTTTTAATGGAGCACACAAAATATAATTTAACTGTATGTGCATGATTCAGGGTCATTATTTTGATTATTTATTGTGTAGATTATAATGATATCTTTAAGGGTTTATTTCATTCACTGAATTCTCCCAAACTCTTCTGTAGATGTAATTCGTCATTGTCTTCTCATCTGTGATGACCTCAGAGGTTGTTGAGGTATATGGTGTGCAGGACTAAATGACTCCAGGTCACTGCTATATTTTAGTTGATGTTTTTGATTCTGCAACTTTTCATTGTGATCAGTGGTTTTGCATTTTGCTGCCTTTTCCTTTCTTCCTAATAAGTAGTACCTAGATATTTGGGCAAAGTTAAAGTCTGCCAAATAAAGAGAAGACACATTTTAAAGTTTAAGTAAATCAGAAGCAGTGTCTCTACTTTAGTCAAATTAAAAGAAAAAGATATAAAATCAGCTTTATTTTTTTATTTAGGAGTACAGAATGGTTGTCATTTAGATGGTTATTGATGCGGTTGCTGGTTGTTTAACCCTCTTCAGATAAATGAGATGTTATTGAATGTATTTGAAACAAACATTTAATTTTCTTTAATGCTCAGAAATCATATTTCTATTTCAGGTTATATTTTATCTTGGCCAGTATATTATGACTAAACGATTATATGATGAGAAACAACAGCATATTGTGTATTGTTCAAATGATCTTCTAGGGGATTTGTTTGGAGTGCCAAGCTTCTCTGTGAAAGAGCACAGGTAAGTTCTTTAGTCTACTGTAAAATGCCAGCTGGGCAAACATTTCAGTTCACCTCCATCCTCACTCCCTTTTGGCAGAGAAAATTGTTATTATATATAAAAGATGCTGAAATTTAATTTCTTAGTAAAATAGCATGTTACTTGAGAACCTGAGTTCTGGAATCTTACAAGCCTGGGTCTGAGACCCAGCTTAGTCATTTAGTAGCTGTCAGACTAGGTAAATTGACTTACCCTCTTTAAGCCTTAAGTTCCCCCTGAATATGAAGTAGGAACAATGTAAATACCTTATGTGGAGGTTATAAAGAGGCAATGTGTAAGCATTTAAATATTAGCTACAGCATGGAAAGCATTTAAATATTAGCTACAGTAACTGCATATTAAAAAAATATTATTATTGCAGTCACTTCCAAAGACAGTCTTTATGATACCCTGTGGTAATTGCTTAAATTTGAGCCCTAGTTACTTTGAAGATCTTTTTCTTTGTCATATACCATTATGGCACTTAATCAACTGAATTTAACCCAGATAGCATTTCTAGAATTACTCTGCCGAGAACTTTTTTTTCCAGACTTTTTTTTTTCAGTCATTCTTACTTTACATTTGGAATTCCTTGTTTCATTTTTGTTAGTCTCTTTGCAGTGTATCTTAATGAGAAGAATACTTTTCACCTGAAACATTTACCTAGATTCTACTAGTGTTTAATGCTCAATAATATTATAGCTAAAAAGATAATTAAGTGGGATATTTATAACTTTAAAATAACTTCATTATTATATGTATATGTTCATTATTGAATATTAAGAAAAGACAAAGCTAATGATAGGGGAAAAAAAGACTGTAATTTGTCATCGAAAGGTATTTTTACTTGTCATTTTTACAATGTATTATGCACAGATGTGTTTTAACCCTGTTGTGAACATACTATATTTAATTTCATCCTGCTTTTAAATTAACATACAAGCTTCTTTCCATTGACAGACGATATCTGTTTAATATTTATGTTATTTTATACTTGGCCTTGGGATATAAGCTCTAATTTTATAAGTTTAAGAAATAACTATATTGATAATTTTGCACCATCTGAGTATTGAATCTTGATAATGTTTGGAGCTGTAATTTCTGATACGGAAAGCACAAATTTAAAATTATCTTTGACTTGAATTCTAATGTGTTGAGAGGTTAAACACTGGGGAAACTACTGACTTGGGGAAAAGATACGAGTAGGAATATTGATTTTTTTTGTGAGTTTAAGGAGCTGTATCATCAGTCCCAAGGATGAAAAAAATTAGTTGGGATTGGCACTTTCCCCTTAACCTTGAGACTTAGAAATGATATCTTGTGACCAATAAATGTTCTCTAAAGTCATTAGTTGATGAAAAATGTACCATGACTTCACTGAGTATTGGCATAAGTGAATTGTTTCCTTATGCTCCAGGAGGGCAGAGATTTGTTTTTATTTCATTCTTTGTTTTCCCCGATTTCCAGAACAGTGACTGGTACTCAGGCTGTATTAAATGACCGTATACTGCTCTATCTTTTAATAAATTTTCAGATCAAGAAAGAAAATCCATTAGATGATTGGTCTAAGGTTGATAAAAGTCAAAACTATAATGAGGGCTTCCCTGGTGGCGCAGTGGTTTTGAGTCTGCCTGCCGATGCAGCGGACACGGGTTCGTGCCCTGGTCCGGGAGGATCCCACACGCCGCGGAGCAGCTGGGCCCATGAACCATGGCCACTGAGCCTGCGCGTCCGGTGCTCGGCGGCGGGAGAGGCCACAGCAGTGAGAGGCCTGCATACTGAAAAAAAAAAAAAAAACTATAATGAAGTTCCTATATAATGGGTTTTGCATAACCTGCTATTTTTTAAGGCAGTCTTCGTCTGTGCCCGGAGCTAGATAAATTCTTTTCTGTTTGAAAATACGTATGTTAACCTGCCTCGTGTGTTCGCACCAGTTCTCTGGGGACTTTTGCTAAAAGTCAACAAGGCATGTTTCAGGAAATGGAGATGTGAAATCTTTGCACTAGGGAGACTTTAGTGATTATTAAACGTGGCTGCGTGTAATCATTGTGCAAATAATTACTATGGTGGTTTTTAGTGTCTAGAAGCTTATCAGTACTTGAATGTAGTGATTTAAACTTTGGGTTGTAGCATGATAGTTTATACTAATATGCATTTAAAAGTCTTGTTAAGTCTAGTTAAATACATTTTTATTTTAAAATGTACATGTTTTTTTTCTCTCTACAAGGAAAATATATACAATGATTTATAGAAACTTGGTGATAGTCAATCAGCAGGGTAAGTTCATTTTGAATTCCATAAGCATGTACTGTAAAAATATATTAAAGACATTCTGTGGATGTGCAGACATCTTATAATTGTGATTTGCTTTAAAAGTTGCTCTCATTGTATATTTAATTATAGTAAGGGTATGATAAATTTAACAGGAAGAAATACATATGAGCTAAAACAACATAATACTAAGTTTCTTATGCACATTTATTTGCAGTGGATATTTAAATATCCTGTTACATAAATTTAAGCCTTGGGATATCAGGTTAGAATTTGCTTTGAAAGGTGGATAATTTCAAAATCTTCTGCATAGTAGCGATAGGAGCAAACCTTGAAACGTATTCAAAGGCTTAGGGAAGTAATACAGATACCTAGGTAGGGCCATTTGAATGGAAGGGTCCTTGTCTTGTGTGTTTTTTATAATAGACAAAACTTTGTTTACCAGTTTGTTCAGGTGAGTGCCATTTTACTTCCCTTCCTTTAGACTTGTAGTTCTTAACTGGTTATTTTTGGGTTCCATATCCTGTTGATAATCTGATGAAAGTGCTAGGTTCTTATTCCATAACGATACACCTAAACATACACAGTGATAGGCCGGTAAATGTTTATCAATCCACTCTCCAGGGGAAGAGCCTTGATTTGTGGTTACTGGTTTCCATAATATAAATACGCTCAGCATGACCATTTTCAGCCGCAAACACGGAGTTGGGAAGAGATGAACACAGTTTGCTTGGGAGTGCTGGTAGGAGCTGGCTCCAATACACCACAGGCTTTTTTAAAAAAATTTATTTGTTTTTACTTTATTTATTTTTGGTTGTATTGGATCTTTATTGCTGCACGTGGGCTTTCTCTAGTTGCGACATGCGGGCTTCTCATTGCGGTTTCTTCTCTTGTTGCGGAGCATGGGCTCTAGGTGTGCGGACTTCAGTAGTTGCACCACAGGCTTCTTAAAATCCATTCTTTTTTTTTTAAATTTATTATTTATTTTTGGTTGCATTGGGTCTTTCTTGCTGCGTGCGTGCTTTCTCTAGTTGCGGCGAGCACGGACCACTCTTCGTTGCAGTGCATGGCCTTCTCATTGTGGTGGCTTCTCTTGTGGTGGAGCACGGGCTCTAGGTGCGCGGGGTTCGGTAGTTGTGGCTCGCGGACTCCAGAGTGCAGGCTCAGCAGTTATGGCGCACGGGCTCAGTTGCTCCGCAGCATGTGGGATCTTCCCGAACCAGGCCTTGAACCCATGTCCCCTGCATTGGCAGGTGGGTTCTTAACCACTGCACCACCAGGGAAGCCCGAAGTCCATTCTTGGTCTATAATTAAGAACTGTTCTCAGGGCTTCCCTGGTGGCTCAGTGGTTGAGAGTCCGCCTGCCGATGCAGAGGACGCGGGTTCGTGACCCGGTCTAGGAAGATCCCACGTGCTGCAGAGCGGCTAGGCCCATGAGCCATGGCCGCTGGGCCTGCGCGTCCAGAGCCTGTGCTCCACAACGGGAGAGGCCACAACAGTGAGAGGCCCGCATACTGCAAAAAAAAAGAACTATTCTCAGCTTGTTCATTTTCCAGAACGAACTGACCACTCCTTAGTGCTCCCATTATTTCGTATCTAGATTTTATTGTTATATTACTTTGTTACACTTACTTACACAAGTGTGTCCTCTTCAGGTTTGCAGTCTGCAGTACACAGTACAGTGTTTATTAATACGACGTTTAGTAAATTTATTGAATTGAATACTTATTCTTCCAGAGTTAGGATTTAAGACCCAGAAAAGCACATCACTGTCTTATCCCAGAATAGAAGTAATTATTAGGCTGGTGACTTGACATTTTGTTTTACAAAGCCCTTTATGAAATCAAATGAAGGCAGATAAACAACTGTAGTATCTCTTGTAGTATTTTCAGTTTTCTGAAGTATTATTATCCCTGATGTATTCATTCATTCATTTAAATCTTGGTTGATTGCTAGGAAGATTTTACTAATGAGATGGTGACCTGTAGATTACTTATGTTATTTCCATTCTGAGTTTGTTTCAGATTTTAGTTTAATATAATTAACTTCAGAACTCCTGTATCATTGTTCTCAAAGTTGTCACACTTAGTGCTTCCTTTTTATTACATCTGTTTTGTAACATCTCTTATACTAAAACAAAATATAATCTATTTATATGGACAGCTTAAATCAGTATAATACCTTGCCCATAATATAAAAAATAAATAAACTGTTATGATAATGCATATAATTTCAAAATGTTAATACTCAGACCGGGCTTCAGTGTTAAGACGAAAATATTTCCAAGGGAGTAGTAAAAGGTATTTGATTATGATCTTAGGTGATGGTATATATCCCACATCTGAAATTTTGACTTGAGCTCCAAGTCTGTACATCTACATACAGACTAAACCTACCTACCTGAAAGTTTTATCCACTTTTCAGTTTATCTTCCCATCCATATCTGTTCTTCATCTGAAGTTTTGAATTATACCACCCATTTATCCACCCAAGGTAGAATCTTGGAATTCTTGACTCCTTTCTCCTTTGCCTTGTATGTCAGACACCAGGTTCTTGTTGGTTTTTACCTTTTTAATTTCTCTGGAATTGATCTTTTTTCCGTGTCTTAGTTTAGACTTTAATGCTTTTCATTTATGTTATTGCAGTTGCTAATACTGGTTTCCCTGCCTCTGTTCTCTTTTTCTTCTATTTTGGCAGAGGGAGTTGTCACTCTTCTGCTTATAGTGACCATTTAGGGGTTCCTTATTGCTCGCTGGGTAAAATACTTGCTGTGAACTAGCAAATCAATTTTATCTCTTAGATTAAACCTTCTTAATGGTGCGTGGCTGCAGCAGTGCCTTAGGGAGGAATGTGAAGTATTAGCTGGGGAGGATGCAGTGATTTGGGATTGGTGGCAGGAATATTGCTTGTTGATATCTTTGTGCTGTTTAGCAAGACAGGCAGGATCCTTTATGATCCTGCTTACATTCCCATAGTAATGAAGTACCTGTAGTTCCTGCAACAAACACTGGTAGTTCACTTCTGAATGCTTTTTTCACAGTGTTTCCTCAGTCTGGAATAGCCTTTCCCAGTCGTACTTCCACATATTCTACTATGAAACCTCTCCTGATTCCTTGTTACTCAGACCTTGCCGCATCTCTACCAAATAACCATTGCTTCGTCTTCTCCATTAACTTATCTTATAATACTTCTTTTAGTGTGCTTATTTTATTGTACTTTATAACTATTCTTATGTATCTTCTATATTAAAATTGAATTATCCATTTACGTCTCTAGTATTCAGCACAGGATGGCACTTGGAGACTACACGTTCAGTGTTGGTTAAAAGGTTAAATTGTATGAGGAGTTTGTTCTGGATAACATCTATTGAATAACCCTTGCTTTCCTAGTTTGTGATTCTTTGTTTTTATTTTCTGTCAGAACCATCAGATTCAGGCACATCTGTGAGTGAAAACAGGTGTCACCTTGAAGGTGGGAGTGTTCAAAAGGTAATCTTGAACTCATTCTACTATGATGTTTCTTGAAAATTTGGAGTGTTAAAAACAATGAATTTTTAGCTTCTTCGTGTTATAAGTTTGTGGGTTTATTTTTTGTTTTTTTCTCCCTTGAATGCTTAGGACCTTGTGCAAGAGCTACAGGAAGAGAAACCTTCATCTTCAGATTTGGTTTCTAGACCATCTACCTCATCTAGAAGGAGAGCAGTTAGTGAGACAGGTATATATGAATATTTAATTGGCACTTTCAAACAGCTTTTCAGTGTTCATTCTTTACTGAAATTAGTACATTTAGGCTTAATGAAATTGTGCTTTTTTGGTTTAGATGAATGAATTTGAGTTTCTTATTTTTATATGATTTATTTGGTTTTAAAATTGCTTTCTTAGCAACATTTTTCTGGTTGACTACAGCAGGCACAATTTTACTGTGTCCTGCTGGATTTTATAGTTAGCCAGCTTTTTGCTGTGCGTGGTAACAGAGGACAAGGATATAAACTCTATTTTAGTCATCATTCTTAGTCCCCTTAACAGTTAAAGTATTTGTTGTTTCTAATAAATAAAACACACCAGTGAGTTTAAAAACAGAGAAATAGCATCTTAGAAATGAGGACGAGGTAAAGAAAATAGCTGAGAGCATTTTTAACAGAGAGAACAGGAGGAGGCTGTTGCCTGATGAAAGTCATGATAACTAAAACTATGATTCAGTAGAAAAAAAAGAGTTTGGCAAATCAGTGAAGTAGGATAGATAAATCCAGAGTAGAGTTTTGTACATGAGGGCAAAGGGCAGCAAGTGCAGAGTAATACATGGGAGTAGAACAAATGGTTATTTGGGGGGAAAAAAATCAAGTTATATCTGTGCCTTATGCCAAAATGAATACTAAATGAGTTGAGAAGATAAATGAAAAAAATTACAACATACTGAAATAGATTCACTTTAAATTTGACAGTGTTAATATCCTTATTATAAGTTTCCAAAAGTCAATAAGAAAAATATTAAAAATCCAACTTGTAAAAAAAATTTTTTTCATAGTAAATAGAAATGACTGATAAATATGAGGAGTGGATTTTAGTGATTTAGCTTTATAGATAACAAAAAATGCAAAAAAGGTGTCTTTTCTGGTCTTTCAAATTAGGAAAGATGATTTTTTTTTTAACTTATCCTTGCTAACTATGTGTTGGCACTGATGCACTGTTGGTGTATCAATTCGTGTAAATTGGTTAACCTTTATGAATTATAAAAAGGCTTGGCTTTCTTACCGTTATCACAGTAATCCACTTCTAGGAATCTATCCTAAGGATATAATCAGAAATGCAAAGATTATATGTAGAGATATTAATTATAGCATTATTCATAGTTGAAAACATATATGATGCTAAAGAATGTCATCACTCTAGTCCAGGCCATTGTCATCTCTTACCGAGACCACTGCAGCAGCTTCTGATTTTCTGTTTCTAGTTACTTGCTCTTCCTGTCCTTCATCACAGTACCAAAAGGGATCATAAAAGGTGAATTGGATTGTGTCACTTCCCCACTTTGTTTATTTACCATTGACCTTCAAATAAAACCCACACTTTTATGTTGGCTTACAAGGCCCTGTTCTACCTTTAATCTGGGTTTTGGCTTTTTTCCCCACCTTCACTGTGTTTTAACTGCACTGATTGGTTCCTCAAACAAGTCAGAATTCTTTCCTGCTGTAAGGCTGTTTGCACAGTTTTTTTCTGCCAGAAGTTCTTCTACCTCAGTCTTGTAAGACCAGCTCCTCATTTTTCTATTTTTGCTTAATTATTACTTCCTCAGAGAGGCTGTCCCTAACCACCTGGAAAAGTGGATCCCCTCTTGTTATTCTTTCCCTTAGCACCCTGCTTGTTTCCTTCATAGCACTCGTTATAGCTTGTAAATGATCGTATTTTGGTTGCCTTCATGTTTGAACGTAAACTTCCTCTGGTGGTAGGGATGATGGCTGACTTCATTTTTGTATACCCACTGCCTCGCACTGTGCCAGACAGAAAGAAGGTGCTTGGATTTGTGGACTGAATGGTTCAATTATGATGAACCTATATTATGGATACCATATTCTGCAGCCATTAAAAGTAATGTAAAAGAATGTTTAAGAGAAAACAACCCCTGGGAAATCCCTGGAAGTCCAGTGGTTAGGACTCAGTGCTTTCACTGCAGGGTCCTGGTTTTGATCCCCGGGTGGGGAACTAAGATCTTGCAAGCCATGTGGTACGGCCAAAAAAAAAAAAAAAAAGAAAACAACCCCAAGTTGTACATATAGTGTGATATAAATATGTTTTTTAGACGGAAGTAAATTTTTTAAATGACAGCTGGAAAATTATTATGCTAAAATGTTATTAGTAGTTATCTCAATGGTAATATTATAGATGATTTACATTTAAATTTTTGTCTGTTTTTTAAAGATTTCTACTGTGAGTAATACAATACTTTAATAATCAGAAAAAAGCCCCAAATGTTATTAATAGAGTTAAAAAATACAGATCAACAGCATGGTTTTGGCCTTCTAGCCCACATCTTTCAACCAAGATCACCTTTTATAGGGAATACAGACATTAAGAACTTATATCAAGAACTTGTGATCTTGTAGAGATAAATACAAAATTAGAGGATATAAGCGTGTTTTGGGAATTCAGAGCAAGAAGAGATAACTTCTGACTAGGAAGATCAAGAGAGGGAAATGGAGTGAGCAAAGGTGTGAGTTGTACCTGTTTCAGGCATATGGATTATATTTTATTCAATCTCATAACCCTGTTAGATACTTAACATATAAGGCTGCAGTGAGCACCCTTGCTCATAAATCCTTAAATGATTATGCAGATATTTGTCTAGGATAGAGAAACTGCCCATAAAACGTTACACTGTTTTGCGTTTTTACCAGTAGTGTATAAAAAGTCCTTTCTCCCAAATCTCTGAGACTGTCTCTCATTTTAATTTCTGTCATTCTCATGAGTGAAACATGGTATCTCATTTCAATTTGCATTTCCTTGATCACTGAGAGGTAAGCCATTTTTTCATGTTTATTAGTCATTTGTGTTTTATGCATTGCCCTTTCATATCTTTGACTCTTTTTTAAATTAAGTTTGTCTTTTACTTGGTTGGTAGGAGGCCTTTATATAAAGTGGGTATTAATCATTTTTTATTATGTGTTGCAGATTTTTTTTCAGTCTGACATTTGCCTTTTAACTTCTTTTTTATAGTATTTTATTTTGCCATGTAAGCCTTAAGTAACTAACTTAATCTTGATAGTCTTTTTCTTGAGGGCTTTGTAGTGTCACATCATACTTTCCCACCCCGGTATATTCTCTTATATAAGTAGTTGGATGGTTTTGTTCCTTGTATTTGGTATTTTAATCCACTTGGAATTCATTTTTATGTCTGGTGTAAGGTAGGACTCTTCATTTATGTTCCTGACAGATTTGGTAACATTCTCACTTTAAGTCAGAGATAATTTCTTATTTAAAATAAAATGGACCAGGGACTTCCTGGCCGTCCACTGGTTAAGACTCCGTGCTTCCACTGCAGGGGGTGCAGGTTCGATCCCTGGTTGGAGAACTAAGATCCCTCATGCCGTGTGGCCAAAAAATAAATAAAATAAAATGGACCAGTTTTAACTGGTTTTGATTCCTGTTGAAAATACTGGATACTAAGGAAATTGAAACATTAGGAATACCTTCTAAGTAAGTTAAACAGTTGGTTCTTTCCAGGAAAAAAAGTGAAATCTTATATCCTAAATTCTGATTTTGACAGAAAAATTGTAGACTGGTTAATAAAAGGTCTAGATGGATTAAATTAATTGTGAGTTGATAAAGTTCTGAAACAAGCTTTAAAGCTTTTAAAAATGTAGTGTTCTGCTATAACTCTAAGTTGGACAGATCCAATAAGAGTGTTGACTTTTGAAACAGTAGTAATTCACTATTTTTCTCTGTTTAATTTCATTGAAACAATTTTAGTACAGATAGGTAACTTAAGACAGCTCAATTTCTAAATACATTATAGTACAGCAATTTAATTAACTTGTTTTTCTTTACATATTCAGAAGAAAATTCAGATGAATTACCTGGTGAACGACAAAGAAAGCGCCACAAATCTGATAATATTTCCCTTTCCTTTGATGAAAGCCTTGCTCTGTGTGTAATAAGGGAGATATGTTGTGAAAGAAGCAGTAGCAGTGAATCGACAGGGACTCCATCAAATCCGGTAATCCTCTCATTTTAAATAAAACAGGACTCTCTTATTTTTAGTCTAGTTCCGGCAGTCCTAATAAGCATCCAGATAGAATGCACATGTATGATATGTGATTGCTGCTTGATTGCTGCTATACACTTGGTAAAATTTTCTTTCAAATGAAACTGTATAGATCTTCCCCACTCCCAACCCCGGGTTTGCGGAGAAGGGTGGAAGATAATGGAGTTGCACTGGAGTGTGTTGGTAAAATTAGTGCCTATGTTAGTTATTAATGTCACCCTACATATTGGAGAACCTTTGTGGGCCACTGCACCAAAGATATCTTAAGATTCTAAGCAATTTTGTTTTGCATATTTAGAGTAAATATATCTTATTACAGCTCTCAGCAAGTAAGTGAACATAGCCTGATATCCACATTTGCCATATGTAGGTCTAGACATCAGGGAAGGTCTTTTTAATAAGGCTGTGAAATATTGGTATATTATTGCATGCATGATGGGAAAGTATCAGTACTTTTTGATCATTGATACAAAATTCCAAAGTATTAGTCAGCATTAACATTCTTAAGAGATATCACTGAAGGAGGTTTTGTAAAGAAGTTTTTGCTAACAAGAATGCTTGACAAATGGAATGTTTTCTTTCTTGTCATTATACATTTGTCTTTAAAATGTTACTAAAATTGGAATCTTTATTTGTGATATGGCAACATTTCATGGTGATTATTCTGGATATGAGTGATTATTTTATAGTTCTCTAGAAGATGTAAAGGATTGAACAAAATGTGATAGTAACCATATTCTTTTTATGTATTATTCTTTATTATCTTTACATTTTTTTCTTCCAAAGCAGTGATTTTATGGATGCAGAGGTGCCTTCTGGAGTTAGTACTTAATAGAGCTGTTACTCATGTAGGCCACTAGATGGCATGGTGAGCTCCTCCAAGAGCAAGTTCTTCATTCAGTAGATATTTGTGTCTTTTCTATGCCAGGTTCCATTTGGCACTGGAGATACAGTGGTGGTCAAGGTAGTTATGATCCCTGCCCTCATTGGGAGATAGGTCATCAGCAATCAAACAAATAATTAAAATACTGAATAAATGCTATGAAAAAAATACAGGGTCTTGAGAACAAATATGTGTGATCTAAAAATTGAATCCAATTAAATAAAACTTGATGTCTCACCAACTTCATGTTTGGATAATTTTATTCCTTACAGATGGTTTTAATACAACGACTATGCGCCATTTAAACTTACAGTCTATTAAAGTTGTTTCAGAATTCTAGCTAAATGGTATTAAAAGTCCTTGTTCTTTCTACCTGGGACACTGCCTTGTTATCAAAGCAGTATAGAGGGTATTTCTTTTTGTTAGTCCTATTCTACGCTCTCTTCTAAAAATCCTCTCTGTTAAAGATCTATTGTTTTTGAGGCAAAGTCCCTAGTTGTGAAAGCTTTTGGTAAGGCTAATTTTTTTCCTTCATTTTAGCACGTCACATTATTTGGTCTTGTCATTCACCAATTTGTGAAGGGAGTTAAAGGAAAGTGCATTTGCCTCCCATCTTTTCTTTCTTTTGGGTTTAATACATTGGGGGAACTAAGGCTATATTCTAGGCTCTATACCAGACAATTAACATATTTTATCACCTCAGCAGCCTCAAACTCCATTTATAGATGGGAAAACTAAGACTTGGGTGTTTCAAATAACTTGTTTAAGATCACATAACTAATAATTGTCACAATTGGAATTCAGAAAAACAGGGATTTTAAGATCTTTCCAGATCAAGCCTGTCTGATACTTTTTAAATATACAGTATTTAAGAGTTTTTAGGTTTTTCTTTTTTGAACATTAGCTAAACTTTTGAAAAGTTTTTTTTTTTAATTTATTTGTTTATTTTTGGCTGCGTTGGGTCTTCACTGCTGTGCGAGGCCTTTCTCTAGTTGCGGTGAGCTGGGGCTATGTGCGGGCTTCTCATTGCCGTGGCTTCTCTTGTTGTGGAGCACAGGCTCTAGGTGCGCGGGCTTCAGTAGTTGTGGCTCACGGGCTCTGGAGTGCAGGCTCAGTAGTTGTGGCACACGGGCGTAGTTACTCTGCAGCATGTGGGATCTTCCTGGACCAGGGCTCGAACCCGTGTCCCCTGCACTGGCAGGCGGATTCTTAACTACTGCACCACCAGGGAAGTCCTGAAAACTACTTTTAATTTTGCTTTCTTCATAGAACCCTAGAATAGGAGTGGGCAAACTTTTTCTGTAAGGGGATGGATAGTAACTATTTGGGGCTTTGCAGGCCATATGGTATCTGTTTCAGCTACTCAACTCTATGGCTGTGAGGCAAAAACGGCCATAGACAACAAGTCTAATAGACAACGGGCATGGGTGTGTTCCGTAAAACTTTATTTATAAAAATAGATGGGTGGTGAAGCACAGTTTGCTGACTCCTGCCATAGAAGATGCTTTCTGAAACTTAATGTTTATTGTGATTTTTACCCCCTTATTCTAAACATAGTACACTAAAGCCTAGTTAATTGAAGTGTCCAGTTTCTTAGGTTATTAGAGCTGTTATTGTATTCTAGCTTGACTTGTGATTTTAATGTGATTGTTAATACAGCCTTTTTTTTAGGAATTAGAACTGCAGTTCAATGAATGAATGTTGCTTTTACTACTACTTTCCTATCATCACGGTTTAAAACAGTCTTTTGACCTCAGTGGTTGTAAAATAAATACCTTGTTTTTGTTTTTATAAATGATGGGAATATTAGAGATCATTTAATCCAAACTCATGTGTCATAGATGAAATAGCTGTGGCCTTTACAAGCTAAATGTCTAGGTTGAAAGTTACTTAGTGGCAAATCTAGAATAAGAATGTATGTATCCTGACTACTAGACCAAAATACTTTTTCTAGTTCTAGCCTTCTGCTTTGTGTATGTTCCTACCCTTAGCCACTGATGGCAAATATTATGGGACTGAAGGTTCTCTTAGGTTCTTATTACTATTAATCAGTTTTAAAATGAATCACATGAGCAGATACAGAATTTTAAAAATAGATTTAAAAAATTATATCTGGAAGCTCTTCCAAAGAAATTATTCTCAAAGTTCATTAAACATAAATCATAATTATTGTATGTGTTGTAGCTACTAGCATTCTACCAGTTGGAAGATATAAAGATGATTGAGACATGGTCTTAACTCTTAAAGTATGTATAATTCAGATAAGAAACGTGTACAAAATTATGTTTTGCAAAATTTGTGTGTGCAAATATATAATACTCAATAATATAAGTAGCACAGATAATTAAAGGTGGGGAGTGCTCTTCTAGTTATAGTATTGACAAAGGCTTTGGCAAAAAAGGATGAGCAGAATTTGAAAACTATCAAGTTATTCCAGCTAGAGGGAAGGCGTGGAAGTTGAAGTTTGGTTTAGGAAACAGTTTAGATCTGGTTAATGTTCTTGTTTAGTGGGGATAGGGTGGTGTCTAGTTGGAGATAATATGAAAATGTTAATATAGACTTCCTGTATGTACCTTGAATGCCAAGGGAATTTGGCCTTTTCTTTTATATAATGGGGTTTTGAACAGAGAAAATATTTATCTAATCATAACCCAGAAGCTTAACCTAGTGTCAGTGTGCAGGATGGAACTGAGGGGGAATTAGGTGCACAGGGAAGAGTTAAGCTGTTGCAGGCCAACAGGTACTGTACATTAAGTCGCTTTTTTTCCCCCTTGATTTTAGGATCTTGATGCTGGTGTAAGTGAACATTCAGGTGATTGGTTGGATCAGGATTCAGTTTCAGATCAATTCAGTGTAGAATTTGAAGTTGAGTCTCTGGATTCAGAAGATTATAGCCTTAGTGAAGAAGGACAAGAACTCTCAGATGAAGATGATGAGGTAGTTTTTTTTTCTCTGATTATATTCTAAAGTTCTTAAATACTTTCCATATTCGTTGACTGATGAGATTGAAATAATAATGTATTCAGATTTCACATCACAATCTTTGACTCTTGATTTATTCAAACTAGAATATTGGTTTGTGGACTTGAGGCTTTGTAATTCCTTGTTGTCTTATTTATATTTTTAAAAATGTAATGTCAAGAAGTCAGTAGGCCTTAATGAGCATTCTTTTAATAGTCTACTCGTTTTTAAAAATATTTAATTCAATTCTCCTTTTTCATTTTTAATTTATGAAAAAGTAAAGCATGCATGCAGTTAAAAGTCACATAGATCTGTTTCCTGGAAGTGACGAGCTTCAACGTTTCTAGCTATTTCACTGTAATTTAATACTTTCATATTTATAAAACAAAAATGCTTATACTGAATATTTTACTTTATTTATTTTAAACATCCCTGTATGTTGACTTTTTACCATAGTGGGTGAGGATTTTACTGTCCTCCATTTCCCCCCCTTTATATTCACTCATTCCATGGCACCTTTGTCTCAGATATCTCATATATAACATAATTGGACCCCCGTATTTGCGAGTTCCACATTGGTGGATTCAACCAAGTGCAGATTGGAAATATTTGAGTAAAAAAAAAAAAATTCCAGGAAGTTCCAAAATGCAAAACTTGAATTTGCTGTGGGCCATCAACTATTTACATAGCGTTTACGTTGTATTTACATCTTTTCATATAGCATTTATTAGGTATTATAAGTAATCTAGAGATGATTTGAAGTGTAGGGGAGGATGTGCATAGATTGTATGCAAATACTATGCCATCTTACATAAGGGACTTGGGCATCTGCAGATTTAGGTATCCTTATGGGTCCTGGAACCAGTCTGCCCACAGATACGGAGGGATGACTGAGTACATGTTGTTTGTTTAGGACTTATCACTTATCACTAAGAAGCCTTACTGGTTGAAGAAAAAAGGTGATGAATTGATGGTAATGTTTTTTTTTGTTTTTCTTTTTCTTAGGTATATCGAGTTACTGTGTATCAGGCAGGGGAGAGTGATACAGATTCATTTGAAGAAGATCCTGAAATTTCCTTAGCTGTAAGTATACATTTACTTTTTCAAGGAATCAAAAAATAACATTGAAGTCAAGATTAGAAAAATATGTCTAGTCTACTTCTTGACATGAGGTAGTTTTTATAAAGTTAACATTTTTTTTTAAGTTTTAATGGTTTAAAATATTTTTGTTCTTTTATTGGGTTGGGATCTGTTGCTATACTTTTTAGTTTTTTTGTGTTGGAATTTGAACTTTTGAAGAACTTCATTATGGAAAATTTTGGGTATGTACAGCATAGAGAATAGTATAATGTATCTCCGTTGTACTTATCACTCCGGTCTAACAGTTACCAATATTTTGCCAATCTTATCAAATATGAATATCATATTGATTTGTATTAGAATATGTGGTGGGATTTTCTATTAAAGAAATCTGGACTTAAACATTTACATTTCATGCTTCACAGGGTTCCTCAGGTATTGGATGTGTGTTTTTTTAACCAAATATTATTGCTTTAATTTTTGTTCTTAAATACTGCTTTTTGTTATATTTGGATAGGAAATCTCAGTTTTCTCTTGCTGAGATAGAAACAATTATTAATTATCCAAATACTAAAAAGGAGGAGAAATTGTAAAATCTTAGGAAAATATTTTGCTATATTAGAAAATAATTCAAGTAACTAGTTGAGTCATCTGATGTCAGGCTGAGTGAAATGTTTTAGACATAGATCTTGTAATTTATCGGACTCTGGAAGCACTTTCTTCCTGTATTATAAGACCTGTCTTTGGTTTTATCATTTAGTAGATACCTGCTTTTACAACTTGAAAGAACCATTGTGGGAGAATGAAGTTTCCACCCTTATTGCTAATATCTTATGTCATTTGTCAGGCAACTTAAAAATGGTTACATTATTCATGGCAAGATAGGAAGGACCTCTTATGGCAAGTTTTACATGCACAGTGTCCTCAGGCAAGAACCATGCTTCTCGTAAGGCAGGGAGATAAGGGGTATGTTCAATAAAGAGGCTTGGAATGTGGGGGAATTTGTTATCCAGATTGCATAGTGGGTGGAAAGGTTTGAGAAATAAGTTGGAATAAGGATGAAGCAATGAGCAGTTACAGAGACGAGAACACAGAAAAGGATAGACAAGTAAGGGGCATACATTCTGGATAGTGACAAGGATGGCAGAGTTTATCTGGCTGTGATTGCTGAAAAGAATGTTTTAGCATTTCCTTTGTGGGTGTAGTTAGGGAACACCCAGTTGAGCCCTGGTTTTAGAGCACTTCTAAGAGAGTCTTAGTCAATGGCAGACTGGTTGATAGTTTTGTCTAGATTGATTTAGTGGACTGGGCACAGTATCAGGTTTGAGCCTTTAAGGGAGTGGAGTGGGTACAGGCTTCATTACAGAGAAGATCCCATAGCACTTGCTTCAACTAAATGAACCAACTCTGTGCTTGAACAGATAACTTTACAGGTACATGGTTAAGGTCATGGTGAATACGTTTTTCATTTTAGAATTCTTAGCATAGTTTGGCTGGGAAAAAAATGTATTTACAAGCTCATGCTTGAGGAAAGACTGTTGAGTGCTTTATATAAGACATGAAATGCTGAAAATCGAGCTGTATGATACATTTTACCTTAGACATATTGAACAAGTTGCTAGCGTTGCTGTGACTGGTTATTGAAGGGTTACGGAAGCTAACTGTCTTGTTTCGTTGAAGGACTATTGGAAGTGTACTTCATGCAGTGAAATGAATCCTCCCCTTCCACCTCATTGCAACAGATGTTGGGCCCTTCGTGAAAATTGGCTTCCTGAAGATAAAGGGAAAGATAAAGGGAAAATGTCTGAGAAAGCCAAACTAGAAAACTCAGCACAAGTAGAAGAGGGCTTTGATGTCCCTGACTGTAAGAAATCTACAGTGAATGATTCCAAAGAATCATGTGTTGAGGAAAATGATGATAAGATCACACAAGCCTCCCTATCCCAAGAAAGTGAGGACTATTCTCAGCCATCAACTTCTAATAGTATCATTTATAGTAGCCAAGAAGATGTCAAAGAGTTGGAGAGGGAAGAAACACAAGACAAAGAAGAAAGTGTGGAATCTAGTTTTCCTCTTAATGCCATTGAACCTTGTGTGATTTGCCAAGGTCGACCTAAAAATGGTTGCATAGTCCATGGCAAAACAGGACATCTTATGGCATGCTTTACATGTGCAAAGAAGCTAAAGAAAAGGAATAAGCCCTGCCCCGTATGCAGACAACCAATTCAAATGATTGTGCTAACTTATTTCCCCTAGTTGAACTACCTATAAAAGTAGAATTATATATTTCTAACTATATAAGCCCCAAAATTTAGACATGAAATTTATTTTTATTTTTTTAGCTGTATCAAAGCAAGAAAGTATCTTACTACATGTAGATTTCTCCCAATAGTGAATAGTTACTTCCTTTTAGGAAAATGCCCCTTCTGTTGATATTTTATATTTGGGTTTTAATGTAATTTGGATTGGATATAGAGTTCATCCTTTACCCCTCTACCCCCTTTTTTTTTTTGGGCTGCACCGCTCTGCATGTGGATCTTAGTTCCCCAACCAGGGATCAAACCCGCGCCCCCTGCAGTGGTAGTGCAGAGTCTTAACCACTGTACCATCAGGGAAATTCCTACTGCTCGTTATTTAAAATAATTTCCACTTTCTCTTAAATGAGAAGTATCTGACCTTTTAAAAAATATATAAGTAGGACATTTAAATGTAACTTATTCAGTACCTTTCATGTAAGGAGGAAAAGTTCGTGTGAAAGATTTAATATTTAAATTTTACATACTCTTAAACTTTCCAATCCTTAGTTTCTCTAGTCTTCAGAGCCTCTTAAAATAAGTCCCCTGCATACAAACCTTCAAATTGCCAACTTTCGAAGATGCGAATGTGAACTGGCATGTCCAGTCACGAAAGTTCACGTGAATGGAGTACGTTGTCACGTGCGTGCATCCCCTACAAATGGTTGTGCTTTTGTGTACTTTACTGTGTAGAGTACAGTAGTATAGTATCTTTATTTCAAGCCCAGGATGTCTGGAAGCAAGCATAAAAGCAGCAGTGATGTAGCTGATACTGCTGATGGAAACAAAAGTGAAAATAATTGAGAGTGGAGTGACAAGAGGAAGAAGTATCAGAAGAACCAAAGAGATTCACGATGCAGAAAATGGCAAGGGTTTTTTCTTTATTTGAGGAGGCACTGTTAGTTTTTGAGGCACAGGACCTGAACATAGAGTGGTACACGAAGGTTGTAGCAGCCGTTCAGAATGCAATCCAGTGCTACCGTGTTGTCTATGAGGAGAAAAAAAGAGCTACTAGACATCATGGGATCGGTTTTTCAAGAGGGTAGGTAGAATTGAATCTAGCAAGGAACCAGAACCTGTGCCATCAACGTCAGGTGTGAGTGAAATTGCAACTTGCCCTCCATCTCCTGTTGCTGACAATCCTTCAGCTCTGTTATCTCCCACCTCTTCTCCCTCCTTCAGTCAGTAACTCTCCTTGCCTGTTCACTTGATGCCAGCCCCTGTATGCCAGCTGTTGTACTGTACTACTGTACTTTTCAAGGTACTGTACTGTAAGATTAAAAATGTTTTCTTTATTTTTTGTGTTTGTTTTTTATGTATTATTTGTGTGAAAATATTATAAACCTATTACAGTACAGTACTATATAGCCGATTGTGTTAGTTGTGTTAGGTACCTAGGCTAATTTTGTTGGACTTATGAACAAATTGGTCTTACGAACAGGCTCTCGGAACTGAACTCGTTCGTTGCAGGGGACTTACCGTATTCTTTCTAGATAAAAGAACTAGGTAGATCGTTTTGGTGCTATGTAAGTAGCACTTACATATTTCTCATTCTCGAGTCTCTTTGATATGGTAAGGGATATAATAAACAGAAGGACTGTTTGTTTTTATACTAGCTGAAATTGTCCTAACTTCTCTAAATTGTCCAAAAATTATAAGAATGACATCCTATAAGAATGATGGGATCAGAACATAAAATTCTGAAATAACTCTCAAACTGTATAGATTAACATCTTGATTTATATTAAATCTTCAACAAAATAGTGGAAAATAACAGCTTTGATTTAAGGTCCCAGTGTATTTCTCCCATATATGTCAGTCGTACATACTCGGGTGAGGACAATAAAATTAACTGAGCTATGAGTTTAGAACAGAACTGAGGGATAATTTTGCACAGCAAGTTTGTGTGCCAGTTACAGAACATTGTATTAAACTTTAAAAACAAAAACCACACACACACATGACTTACCCATATATAGATATGTAAGTAATGGCTGAAGGGATCAGCACCTTAGCCAAAGAGTGGTCCTCAAATAGAGTAAAGCTTTATTAATTTGGGATTTGTAATACTTCAACTAGAACTAAGTAGAATTGATCCTCTCTGAGGACAGAGAAATAAAAATGAGATTATAAACACTGTATAGTCAGCCCTCCATACCTGTGGATTCAGCATCCATGGATTTAACCAACCACTGGTTTGGAAATATTCAGGAAAAAGATTCCAGAAACTTTCAAAAAGAACACTTGAATTTGCTGTGCACTGGCAACTACATAGCATTTGCATTGTGTCAGTTATTTAAATCTAGAGATTTAAAGTATATGGGAGGATGTGCATAGGTTATATGCAAATACCATACCATTTTATATAAGGGACTTGAGCATCGAAGATTTTGGTGTCCCGGGGTTGGGGGGGGTGCATCTTGGAACCAATCCGCCATGGATACTGAGGGACAACTGTATATTATTCAATGATTCTGCTGTTTACAAGACATTCAAATCGGTGCAAATAGAGTTTCATTCACCATATATATATGCATTACTAATGCAGTCTTGATTGTCTAAATTTTTAGGTGTAGCATGCATTTTATTGATTTACAAATAAAAGATTAAATGTTTAAGAACTGTTTAAAAAATGTGATTATTGGATCTTATAGGCAATTTTCCCATAATAATGAGTTTTTTCTTCCAGTATTGAGGTAATTGACATACAGTATTGTATAAGTTTAAGGTGTACAGCATAATGATTTGACTTGTTTACATTCATGAATTGATTATTACAATTAGTTTAGTGAACATTATCTCATAGATACAACACTAAAGACAAAATTTTTGTTCTTGTGATGACAACTCAGGGTTTATTCTCTTAACTTTCATATATAACATACCACACTGTTAATTATATATATCATGTTGTACATTATATCTTTAGTACTTATAACTGGAAGTTTGTACCGTTTTATTGCCTCTATCCATTTCCCTCTCCCCCCACTCCCCACCTCTGGTAACCAAAAATCTGATCTCTTTTTCTATTTATTTGGTTTTTTTGTAAGTATAAAGACCTACAGTACTATTGATTTGTTCATGTTATACAAGAGTGGTTTGGTATTTCTATACATTTTCGAATGATTACCACAGTGAGTCTCGTTATGATATGTTGCTATGCAAAGGTATTACATAGTTATTGCCTATAATCCACACAGTGTAAATTTTACACCATGACTCATTTAAATACTTTGCAACTGAAGGTTTGTACCTCTTAATGTCCCTCACTTATGTCTTTCCTCCTTTCACCTCTCTCTGGCAACCACCTGTTCTCTGTATCTGTAACTTTCTGTTTTGTTGTGTTCGTTTTATAGATTCCACTTATAAGTAAAAGTATTTGTCTTTCTCTGTCTGACTTACCACTTAGCATAATACTCTCTAGGTCCATACATGTTGCAAATGTTAAAATTTTATTCTTTTTTATGGCTAATATTCCATGTGTGTGTGTTTGTGTGTACTACATCTTCTTTACCCATTGTTTGCTAATGGACACTTGGGTTGCTTCCATATATTTGCTGTTGTAAACAGTGCCGCCGTGAGCGTTGGGGTGCATGTACATTTTTTTTTTTTTTTTTTTTTTTGGCTGCACCACAAGGCATGTGGGATTTTAGTGCTCTGACCAGGGATTGAACCTGTGACCCCTGCGTTGGAAGTGTGGAGTCTTAACCCCTGGACCACCAGCGAAGTTCTGCTGCATGTAAATTTTTGAATTAGTGCCTTTGGTTTTTTCTAGATATATGCCCTGGAGTGGGATTGCTGGATCATATGGTAGCTATGTTTTTAGTTTTTTGAGGGAACTCCGTACTGTTTTCTGTAATGGCTGCAGCAATTTACATGCCCACCAACAATGTACAAGGATTCCTCACCAACACTTATTTGTTTTCTTGATAATAGCCATTCTGACAGGTGTGAGGCGTATCTCAATTGTGATTTTGATTTGCATTTCCCTGATGATTAGGGATGTTGAGCGTCTTTTCATGTACCTGTTGGCCATCTGTATGTCTTCTCTGGAGAAATGTCTGTTAAGATCTTCTGCCCATTTTTTAATAGGATTGTTTTTTTGATGCTTAGTTTTATGACTTCTTTATATCAATATATTTTGGGTTTTAACCCCGTGTCAAATGTATCATTTGCAAGTATCTTCTCCCGTTCAATAGGTTGTCTTTTCATTTTGTTGATAGTTTCTTTAGCTGTGCAAAAGCTTTTTAGTTTGATGTAGTCCCATTTGTTGATTTTTTGCTTTTTGTTTCCCTTGCCTGAGGACACATATCCAAAAAAAAAAAAAAAAAAATCACTAAGACCAATGTCAAACAGCAAACTACCTGTTTTCTTCTAGAAGTTTTATGGTTTCAGGTCTTACATTTAAGTCCTTAATCTATTTTGAATTTATTTTAGTGAATGGTGTGAGAGCTTAGTCCAGTTTCTTTTGCATATAGTTGTCTCGATTTCTCAACACCACTTATTGAAGAGGCTGTCTTTTTCCCATTGTACATTCTTGCCTCCTTTGTCATAGATTAATTGACCATAAGTGTGTGGGTTTCTTTCTGGACTCTGTATTCTGTTCCATTGATCTATGTGTCTGTTTTTGTGGCAGTACCATACTATTTTGATGACTAGCTTTGTAGTATAGTTTAAACCAAGGAGTGTGAGACCTCCAGCTTTGTTCTTTTTTCTCAAGATTGTTTTGGCTGTCCAGGGTTTTGTGTGTGTGTGTGTGTGTGTTTCCATACAAATTTTAGAATTAGTTCTAGTTCTGTGAAAAATACCATTGATATTTTGTTAAGGATTAGATTGATATGTAGATTTCCTTGGATAGTATGGTCATTTGAATAATGTTAATTCTTCCAATCCATGAACACAGTATATGTTTCTGTGTCATATTCAATTTCTTTCATCGATGTCCCATAGTTTTGTTTATTGAATTTTATTTTTTTATACAACAGATTCTTATTAGTTATCCATTTTATACATACTAGTGTATATATGTCAATCCCAATCTTGCATTTCATCACAGCCCCACCCCCCTCCCCGCAGCTTTCCCCCTTTGGTGTCCATACATTTGTTCTCTACATCTGTGTCTCAGTTTCTACCCTGGAAACCGGTTCATCTGTACCATTTTTCTAGGTTCCACATACATGTGTTAATATAGGATATTTGTTTTTCTGACTTCACTCTGTATGACAGTCTCTAGATTCATCCCTGTCTCTACAAATGACCCAATTTCGTTCCTTTTTATGGCTGAGTAATATTCCATCGTATATATGTACCACATCTCCTTTATCTGTTCATCTGTAGATGTCCATTTAGGTTGCTTCCATGACCTGGCTATTGTAAGTAGTGCTGCACTGAACATTGGGGTGCATGTGTCTTTTTGAATTATGGTTTTCTCTGGATATATGCCCAGTAGTGGGATTGCTGGGTCATATGGTAATTCTATTTTTAGTTTTTTAAGGAGTCTCTATACTGTTCTCCATAGTGGCTGTATCACTTTACATTCCCACCAGCAGTGCAAGAGGGTTCCCTTTTCTCCACACC